GCCTGGGTGGCTCAGTTGGTTAAGCGTCTGCCTTCAGCTCAGGTCTTGATCCCAGGGTCCTGCGATTGAGTCCCACATCAGGCTCCCTGCTCAGCGGGGAGTCTGCTTCTGCTTCTGCCTCTTCCCTCTGCTTGTTCTCTCTCAAATAAATAATAAAAAAATAAAATCTTAAATTTTTATTGTAGAAGTGTTTCATGAACACATTCTCTGAATCAACAATATATGAGGAAAGTGACATTACTTCCCTTGTTTCTCCCTCCCTCCTCCTCCCAGACGGGCTGTGAGATTTTCAAGTATGCCATAATTCAGTGCTTGAGTGTCACCCGGGAAACTTGTTAGAACATGGTTGCAGACCGCCGCTCCAGGTCTCATGCTGGGGTGGGTCAGTGCAGCCTGAGGCTGTCCCATGGTGCCGCGCTGGGAACCTAGTCCTGTCCAGTACTGCTGCTTGTACAAATACCCTGTGTATATTTGAGGGTTTTGTAGGGCAATTTGTAGGCATGGAAATGATGGGTCAAAGAGGATTAGCAGCAACTACTTTTACTGATGTGGCCAAATGGAGCTCCAACAATTCAGATCCCTCTCCCCCATCAGTGTGTGTCCCGTCTGTCCCTTCCCCATCACCCAGGGCAGACGTTGTAAAGATGGCTCTTATTTTGTCGGTTTGATATATATTTTAAAATACTTAATTATGTAATTATGAAAGAAGCTGAAAAATGAATTCCTTTTTTGTAAATAAACTCTTTCTTTTGGATTTATACAGTGTGAGAGAGTGCCATATGCCCCCCAGCTTCCCACCACGTTAATGTACCTAACTATGGTTTGTTTCCCAGAATGAAGAAATTAACATTGGTCCATTACTACCAGCTAAATTTCAAATTTTATTTGGAGTTTACCTTTTTTCCCACCAGTATCCTTTTCAGGTCCCACATGCACTTCTAAACAGTGCATTTAGGGTCTTGTCTCCTTAGGCTCCTCTGGTCTGTCCACGTCTCCGTGTCCCAGACAGTTTGAGGAATCCTGGTCTGATATTCTGCAGAATGTCCCTCAGTTTGGGTCTGTCTGATGTTTTTCTCATGATTAGATGGGGGTTACAGGTTTTGGAGGGAAACGCCAGGGGCGAAGTGCCTTCTTACTGGGTCACGTCACAGCAGGTGTTGCACGTTACTGCACACGTCCTTCAAACATTAACTGCAGTGAGGACCTCAGACGCACGTGACAACAGCAACAGGAAGTACTCATCGCTGGCCCCTATTCCCAGTGTTCCGCCACCTTGTTTCTGGATGGCTGCTCAGTGTGGCTGGAAGGTGAGTTTCCCACTTCATCTTTCTTCCTTCCTCCCTTCTCCCCTTTCTTCTTTCTTAAGCACAAAAGAAGGCCCTGATTAACCATGGTGGCAGTACAGCTGGGACCTAGTGACATGGGCTTTGTGCAGGAATCCCTGCTAACCTTGGCCTTTTGGTCTTGGCTTCACTTCATCACTGCCTGAGGTGACTGGTCCGTCCCAGTGGACCCAGTTATTAGCTTGGACTCCTCAGGTTGTGAGTGAAAGGAACTCAACTCAAATTATTTTAGCAAAAGATGGAATTTGCTGCATCAGAAACCTAAAAGCAACCTAGTAGGACTCGATCCTTGGGCTCACCAGGTGTTCCCATCCTCACCACTTCCCAGCTGTTTGCTGCCATCAAAGATGTCTAGATCTCCCGGCTTCTTAGTCACCCAGCTGAGGGTGACTCTCCCCATGATCACTTCAACACAAGCCAAAGGAGTGAGCTTCACTGGATAAACCTGGATCATCTCTGCACCCCTCTGAACCAATCCCTGGGTTGATGTAATGCCTTGAGAATAGAGTTCTTGATTGCACACAGGCTGAGGTCACAAGCCAGCCTTGAGACTAGGAATGATGTTAATTTAAGTCAGACCACATGGGCTGAATAGAGGAAGAGGTGCTTCTCTTAATGCTCATGTCTTTTCTATCTTTTCCTCCGGCCTCTGCAGATAGAACCACTCTCCTCCATGTTGTTACCATAATGCCTTCAAAGCACCTGTCTCTGCCTGTAGTCAGTGCCGCACCAAGTTGGGGATGGGGTGGGAGTGGGGTGGGCATGGTCCACCAGGTACATCTGTGGAGAATTTAAAAACAATCACGAAACCCAAATGTAATCTTTCAATCATCACCATATGCTAGTACTTCTAAACAGTGTGATAAAAATGCTCCTTGAAAAAAAACAAGAAAACAAAACCCAAATAAGAATATTTTCAGCACCAGAGGCTTAAGGAAATGTCTTAATATGATGCTAATTCTCTGTTCACAGATGCTGAGAAACTCAATCTCAGACATGTTTAGGGTCCCCTGGCCTTGTGAGGGTGCCAGGCCTTCTGTGGGTGAGGGTCTCCTTCCCCTTGGGGACTACTTACCTCCTATGTGTGGGCTGTTTCAACCTTCCCCCCCATTTTCAACCATCCCTGGGGAGGGCCCCCAAGTAGCCTTCTACCTGGGCCAATCCTCAACACTATCAGCTTGTTTTCCTGACTCACTGGCTTCATTTCACCACTATTCCTGAGGGCTTGACAGGTGCCTAGTGGTGCTCTAAGCTGTTCTGAAAGTTGGGTCTGTAGCTCTTTCTGTATTGAACCGTAGATCTGAAGCTTGGTTTTCTTCAAATACTTCAAAGCAGTATATTGCAACAGATTGAATGCAGAAGCAGATGTGAGAATCCAACTATCTTCTATGAATCCAAACTTTAAGGAGATTTGCAGAAATGTAAAACAATTACCACTCTTCTCTATATTTTTGGGAAATATGTTCCTAAAAGTGTAACATTTATTTTACAGAACTTTCCGTTTTAGAGAGTGAGCGAGTTCATGAGCATGCGCGCGGGAGCTGGGGGATGGGAGAGGGAGAAAAGCAGGCTCCCGACACAGCGCAGAGCCGGAGGGGTGCTCAATTCCACGCGGACATCGTGAACCCAGCGGAAATCAAGAGCTGGATGTTCAACCGACTGAGCCACCCAGGCGCCCCAAAAGTGTGACGTTTATTTTTAAGTGTTATTCTTTTAAATTTCGGTAAACCTCGACACATACAACCCACATTAGTAAAAGCTTTCTGAGGCCCTCAATCATCTTTAGGGCATGAAGTGGTCTTGAGCCTGAGAGCTTGGGAGCCGCTGAGCCAACTGAACCGTGACCGCATCTCTACAAGCGGCATCGCTGGTGCCGGGAGGAGGGGCTCGCCACTGACGCCGCGCCTCGTGCTCCAGGCGCCATGAAGCCTACTCGTCCGGAGCCACGCTTCCACAGTTGTGAAGTGCGGAGGACGATGCGTCCACCTCATGGTGCTGCTGGGGTGGTTCTGCGCCAGGTAACGCGCACAGGGTGATATTAATAACCCCGTATCAGATGAGTCACATCCCACTTGACAGAAAAGGAAGCTGGGGCTCGGAGACGCCAAGTGCCTTGCGGGGCTTCCGCGACCGAGCGCTCCGACATTCACGGACCACCCCCTCCGCGGACCACCGTTGCCCCCGGCCTGCCTGGATACCCCTTCCCCAACCTGCGGGCCCGCCCGGTCGCCCCCTTCCCATCTCCCCGCCCGCCGGATCTCTATCCCCCGCCTGGCCAGTCCTGGGCGCCGAGCAGCCGCCGGCTCCTCCCGCTCGCCTCACTTCCGGCGCCCGGGCCGGAAACCTCCTTTCCGGTTCTCAAATCCGCGCTCCGGAAGTGAGTCACCGTGCCAGCACCCAAGATGGCCTCCTGCCCATCCGCCGCAGCGGTCAATGGAGGAGAAGCGGGCGCAAACCCGGAAGTTGCCCGGTTCAGCCATGGCAGCCACCGGGGGCGTGGCTTCCGGCGGCCGGAGCCTGGGAGTCGGGGCGGCAGGATCGAGTGGAGGCCGTGGCTGACAGGCGCTCCTCCCCCGACGGCGGCGGCTGGTGCCCCGGCGGACCGGCGGCCTCCAGCTCGCGGCCGCGAGAGGCGCCAGGGCCGCACCGGGGGATGGACGAGGGGAAGATGGACGAGAATGAATGGGGGTACCACGGCGAAGGCAACAAGAGCCTGGTGGTGGCCCACGCGCAGGTGAGCGGAGGAAGGTTGGCGCGGTCCGGGGCCCTCACCCTGCCCCCGGGGAGTTCCGCGATTCCCCCAGCAACACTCCCTCCCACAGTCGGTTCCACGACCCGCTGGCACCCCTTGCCCCGCCCCGGGGGGTTCCGAGTACCCCCAACAACACTCTCCCGCCCCAAGGGTCGGTTCCGCGACCCGCTGGCACCCCTCTCCCCGCGGATAGGTTCTCCCGCACCCCCTCCCCCATGCCGGGTAGTTCCACGTCCCCCGTATCCCCGGCTCCTCGGGTCAATTCCTCGTCCCCCCAGTGCCACCCCTCCCCCCAGGTCGGTGCTTCCCCTCGCCTAGTGTCACCCCTTCCCCCAGGTCAGGGCCGCGTCCCCCCAGCACCGCCACCCCGCCCCGGCCGCACGCGGTGCCATCTCCGACTGCCCAGCCGCGGTGGGGCGGAGGCTGCGCCGAGAGGCCGCCCCAGGGGTAGCCGGAGCCCGCATGGGGGTCCGCCCAGCTCTGGAGGAAGCAGCGAAGCGCCCGGGATGCTGTTATCTCCCGGCGGGCGGGCGCCAAGGGAGTGTATCCTCCGAGACGCACGGAACTGCTGTGCTCCTGCAGCTGCTGTTAATAATGGAGTCTTGCCCAGGGGTTCTTCAAAATCTTTTAGAATTTAAAGGGCTTCTCTTTCTTAATTCAGGGAGGGGCCGGAGTTTCAGAAAGTGCAGTAAGGACGCGCAAGGGAGTGAATCCAGGAAGAGAAGCTTGTGGATTTGTGTGAAGCCCCAAACCTCTGACGTGTTGCTGATACAACCACGCTGGAATGTGGTGGGCAGGGGAGGAGCCCTGGGTGTCACCAAGGGGTTAAGAGCTGGGGAGTGGGAGTCACACAGCTGGGCGCCGACCCAGTTCTACCACGGCCTGGCCCACGCGCAGTTTCTGCGTTTGCAAAGTGGAACTAGGAACAGAATCCCCATTGTGGACTTGCTAGAAGGATGAGGTGAGCAGGTGCTGGGCAAGTGAACACTGTCATCCTCTTTGGACTCCGGTGAGCGCCCTGACCTGGTCCAACAGCTCCTACCGGGTGGTGCCCTGCTCTGTGGTTTCTGCGCTGGCTGTAGGGGAAGCTGCAGTCGCCCAGGTGGCCCCTGTGATCTGCCTTTGCATTTTGTTACCCATTTGCACAGTCAGGAAGCTGAAGTGAGATGGCGGGCTTCGGTCAAGATCTTTAGATGAATAATGGGCAAGGCTTAACCTAAAACCGTTCTTTGCATCGTCTGCTGGGCCCCCGTGGTGTTTGAGGGTGGGGCGGAGCACGGGATATTCCAGCCTGGGTCCCTTTGGTTGTTGGGTTATTGTGGTGACCCCTGAACCCTTTCACAGAAAAAATGCTCATGTTCCAGTTCCTTAGTATGATGGGTGGTGTATCTTTTTTTTTTTTTTT